GGGGCCTTCTGAGTGCAGGGTCGTCTGACACATGTGGCTTGAGAAAGCTGCCAGTCTGGTTACCGAACATGGGTGACCTGAGTGGGGTTTCACGAATCTTGGGATGTGCAGGAATGTTCGGGTTTCACGACGGCTGTTGTCATGTGCTTAAAGTCGCTGGCACGTGCTGAGGTTTTTTCTTTCGACACGGTGCTGTTGAGAATCGTCCACACCGTGCTGCATGGCCAACCTGTGATGGTTGGGGTTTGGCTACATTGCAATTTTCCTTCCTGCAAGCGAAGGTATGCGATGGTGTCGGATTTCGCCTGGCTCAACGAGCCTTCTGTTTACCTAACCTTCTAGGCAGGCGGAAAAAGGCGCTCAAAAAAAAAAAAACTTAAACCCTAAACCCTTAAGCCCTTATATACCCTAAACCCTAAACCCTTAAACCCTAAACCCTAAACCCTGAAGCCCTTATAAACCCTAAACCCTAAACCCTTGCACCCTCAAGCCCTAAACCCTAAACCTTTAAACCCTAAACCCTTAAAGCCCTAAACCCTTAAACCCGAAACCCTAAACCCTAAACCCTACCCTTCAAGGAACCCTTTCGCTGACCCCAGGAGATGCGCTTTTCATTCCGCACGGCTGGTGGCACGCAGTTCGACCCCTGGAGTCTTTCACCGTCATCACAGGCGGCTCCGGAATGAACAAGCGGACAAGCAATCCTACCTTGATCCCAATATCCTAAACTCTAGAATCTTTAACCCCGTATTTTAGGGTTGAGGGTTTAGGGTTTACGGTTTAGGGTTTAGGGCCCCGCATTTTCTATCCTCACCCAAAACCTCCACATCCTAAGCCTAAACCTGGTTGCCCTTCCCGCTGCACTATTGCTGCAGCACTCTGAGGTTTGGCAAAGCGGCCGGACGCTTGAGAGAAAAAAATTGCACGCGAAGTCTGCGCGGCACGGCTTTAGGGTGTAGGGGATTTCAGGGAGCGATTCTTGATTTAGGACCCCAGAGGGTCCATTTATACTGCAATGATGGAATTGGGCCCCAACAGGCCATCCTTACTATGGATTTGGGGACCTAATTCCATAAGAGTAGTATATATGGACACACAAAAAACCTTGTGAAATCCGACCCCACCCCATCGAGGGGCATCACCCTCAAAAGCTTGGGATGCAGGTGTTACGGCTGATGGTGTAAATCCTGCATTACCCATAACAAGGATGTTTAGGGTTTAGGGTTTAGGGAGGAATATACTATAATTCCCATAGTTTAGGAGCCTTAAGGTAAGGCAGGATTTATATCATCAACCGTATGTTGGACTAGGAGCTTTGTAGGACTTCTGACCAGGGATGTCATGACTCAGCCCAAGCTCCATTAAACCCATCAAAAGGCCTAAGTTCTAGACCCGAATGCCCAAATCTCTCAACGCTGGCCCTGCACCCCAAAGACCCATTCCCAACACCTCGATAAACCTAAAGCGTGTTCTAGAGCCCTGATCAAGCCAGGCTACTGCAGGACTTCATGGACATGTCAAATACATATATCATATACCCTAAACCCTAACCCCTAAAACCTTAAATCTTTTCCTAAAGCCCTAAACCCTAAATCCCTAAATCCTTAAAGCCCTAAAACCCTAAACCCTAAAACCCTGAAACCCTCCGAATAGAATCGAGGCGCCGAGGTCTCCGTCACAGACTCCGACGCCGCGTCGACCATCGAGACGGCTCCTGTTGAGGAGGCCGAAGAGTTTGGGATTTTGAGGGTTTAAGGGTTTAGGGTTTAGGGTTTAGGGTTTAGGGTTTGGGGAGTGCGTTTTAGGGCCGAGTCTAGTCTGGAATCGCAGGGGGTTGAGGCTTTAGGAATTTGGGGATTTAGAACCGGATATTTGGGTCGGTTCTTGGTATAGCTTGATAGGAGGGTTGTTTGAGAAGAGAGTTGAGCTAGAGTAATGGGATATAGTGTTTGTGGTTGTTTTGGGGTGTCTAGGGCACCCAGACAGGGTTTAGGGTTTAGGGTTTAGGCCCCAAAACCATCCCCCCAACAGTCGAAGGACGACTCTGGGATCTCTGCATAGAGCCCTCAAGCGAAGCTTCTGCCCCAAACCCTAAACCCCAAACCCTATCAGAAAGATGAAGCTTCCCATAGAAGTCGACCCTTAAAGGGTACTATAGGGTTGTTGAAGGGATCTACAGGTGATCCTTTTAAAGAGATCCCTACTCGTAGCTTTATGGGGTTGCCCCAAACCCTAAACCCTAAACCCTAAACCCCAAACCCCAGGCAGCGGACCTCATTGCCACCTGGACCTCGGATGCCTCGCGGTCCATGGCCACCCTCCGGGCTTTGGGACGGCCTGAACTGGTCGCCCCTCGACTCTTGTTTAGGGTATAGGGTCTAGGGTCTAGGGTTCAGGGTTTAGCGTCTAGGCTTTAGGGTTTAGGGTCTAGGCTTTAGGGTTTAGGGTTCAGGGTTTAGGTTTGTCTCCTTTTGTTTCGAAGTTCCCAAAGGCTCCAAGTAATGGTAAAGTGTCGGCTTTTGGGCCCAAGTATCTACTAAGTAGCTACTATATTGATGCTTGGACCCTTGGGGTTTGTTTGAGGGTTTCAATTTCGAAGGGTTACTTCAATTGTCGATGGGGCTTCAGGAGGGCTTTGTGGGGATTGCTGTTGGGGGTGAATCGCAAGGGGTGTGTGCTTGAAGGTTCATGTGTAGTGTTCTCTTGCAAGTAGGTGTCTCGGTACCATAGGGCACGTAAGCCCTAACCCTGAAACCCTACACCCTAGACCCTCAACCGCAAACCCTACATCGTAAACCCCAAGCCCTAAGCAACAAGATCCTCAACCCTACAATAGACACTGCCTTTGAAACGGCTCAGGTGACCAGTCTCGAGTCAATCTCCACCGAGCCGCGGCCTCAAGGACACTTTCACGTGCATTACCCATATAGTAAGGAATATACCATAATTCCCCATGCAGGATTTATATCATCCACAGTAGCATTGCTTAGGATACCTGTTGTAGTTCTACCCTCAAGCCCCTGATGCGAAAGCGCGCCCAAAATTCATAAACCCTAAACCCTAAACCCTAAACCCCTAAACCCTAAACCATTTGCGTCGGCGAAACGAGGATGGGGGAAGGGAGGTCAGATCTGCTTCAGCATCTGATAGGGTTTAGGGTTTAGGGTTTTAGGGTTTTAGGGTTTAGGGTTTAGGGTTTAGGGTTTAGGGTTTGGGGTTTGGGGTTTGGGGTTTGGGGTTTGGGCTAGGGTGAAAAAGCGGTTTAGCGGTTCGATTTGGAGGTTTAGGGCCGAATTCCTGTAGCCATTGTATGATTTCTTAAGGGTTTGAGGTTCTTGGTTGTAGAAAATAGGTGACATGGGGTTACTTACATTCATACCGGCAGTTGAGGTTTTGGGGAGTACGTAGTCGCATTGAGTAGCAAGATCGCTCCCTCTTGTGCTATAGCTAAAGTATCATCTGTTCTGGAACTCTTCCGCTGGATACACTCAAGATGATAAAGGCTGCCTAAAACTGCTGGTGGCATTCCCTTATGTTAAACCTTCTGATTTTGAATATGATCCGGTGCACAGGAAAACGTATGCCCAGCTAACTTACACTCCATAACCCTTGAAGGAATCTTGTTGGGTATGTATTAAAACCTTCAAACAAGTATATGATTGCCTTCATAGAACCCCTACAGCGAACCTTTTTCTATTGTCTTTATTATGAATATGGGAGCTTCCGGAAATTAAGGGTACCTTATTTTGGGGTCCTTATAATAAGGGTCCTACTATTTAGGGTACTAGATTAGGGTCCCCTATTTTCGGAAACTCCCATATGTACCCACAGGGTCCCAAGTACCTACGTGGTACAAAGTATGGTTTTCGATGGCACAAACCACTTTTGTGTGTGGGGTAGGCAGCCTTAGGACCCTTCGGGGTATACAGTTCCCCAAATGCCAAACCCTAAACCCTATACGCTATACGCTATACCCTAAACCCTAAACCCTAAACCCTAAACCCTAAACCCTAAACCCTATACCCTAAACCCTAAACCCTTTCGGGGCATACAGCTCCCGGGCCGCCTGAAAGTTGAGGTTCCCACGTGCCGACGCCCTCGTGGAGGCTCCTCGCTGGGTTTAGTTTAGGGCCTACAATATAGCGACCCTAAATAATTACCAACACTATTTTGGGGGTTCCTTATTTTAAATAAAGCCTAAGGGGCCCCAAAGCCCTGTTCAAATTATGAAGGCCCTTACACGAAGGCTTTAGGGTTTTGGGGGTTAGGATCGGTGCTTCAGGCCAGGGTAAAGTTGAATTGTGATTTAGAGGGACCCCCCTAAGGGGGTATGGCAAATGGAGTTTGCTAGCAGAAGCTGATGGTCGGAAAGCAAGGCCTGCCAAGCATTAGCAACGGCTGGCAGGCCTTAGTAGAGCCTAGCAAGCCTTTGTAGTA